AACTTCTTTATCCAGTCATCTGTGGATGGGCACTTCCTAGATTTGTGATTCAAGCATTTGTATTTTGCAGAAAATGGTCAAGTTCTGTCATGTGGATCCAACTCCTTTGGCCAATTAGGAGTTTCTCACGGGCCTCGGAGGTGTGTGTTTCCCCAGGCCGTTGAGGTAAGGACGGCACCTAGTTTTGAGCTTGCCTGTGTCCTGTTAAAGGGTCTCCAAGGGGTCAGTCACAGTTACCCCTCCCTGGGCTATAAGACTGACTGGGCCCCTGAAAACGCATGAAGTAGTTAGAATTTATGTTGAAAAACTCAGGTTCTCCTGGGAAAAATTAAGTAGAAGGGATGGATGTTGTAAGTGAAAAACCTGTTAGTTCTCATACACCTTGTAATTTTTTTTCATGTTATAATTTTTTTGTGGAATGAAGCAATAAAAGTAATATATCTTATAATGCCATGAATGACATTTTACAATTCTAAAATTAGTAATAGTGGGAACTGTTAGAAACAGGTCCAGTTGGAAGTGACTTGCTTAAATTAAAACCACTAGCTAGGCAAAAGGCATAGGCCAGTGCTCTTCAGTGGAAACATAATGTGAGCCATGTGTGTGTTTTAAAATTTTTTCTCAGAGCACCACTTAAAAAACTAAAAGAAATAGATGAAATTTATTTCTAAAAGAACAGCTTTATTGAGGTATAATTCATATAACATCAAAATTTACCCCTTAAGAATGTATAGTTCAGTGGGTTTTTAGTGTATTCCCAGAGATGTGCAGTCCCCACCATCATTTAATTTTAGAAAATTTTCATCATCACAAAAGAAACTGCATACCTGATAGCAGTCAATTCCCATTTTCCCCTGCCACCAGCCCCTGGTGACTGCTAATCTGTCTCTATGCATTTGCCTATTCTGGGCATTCCTTATAAATGGAATCATACAGTATGTAGCCTTTTGTGTCTGACTTCTTTCACTTCACGTTTTCAAGTTTCATCCAGGTCATGATGTGTAGGTAAAACTAATTTTAATAACTTTTAAAGTAATGTATCCAAACTATTACCCTTTCATTTTATATGTCATCAATATAAACCTTTATTAATGAGATATTTTCTATTCTTTATTTTATTCTAGGTCTTTTTCTGGTGTTTCTTTTTTTATTTCGAGTACATCTCAGTTCAGTCTAGTCACATTTCAAGTATTCAATAGCTATGTGGAGTTAGAGGCTACCATATTGGACAGCACAAGTGTTAGGTAGAACTCCTGGTTTTAGTTCAGAGCTCTTTTCGCTGTATCAGGCTTAAAATGTACACATTTATGTGAAGATGATATTGTAAGTGAATTTTTAGAGAGATTATGCTGGAATCTAAAATGAGTTTCACCACCTAAGCTGCTCTACTTGTATCTAATTTCCTTAAACTGTGAGTAACAGTGGGGGAGATCTGTTTTCACTGCAAAGAGCTTGGCTCTGCTCCTGTCTTCTTGCTGAATTCTGGTTGCTGGTATTGTGGGATATTATTTGGGGTCATGGTTTCCATTGTGTTTTAGTCCCATTGGGCTGTTCTAACAAAAATACCATATACTGGGTGGCTTAAACAACAAACATTTAATTTTCATAGCTCCAGAGGCTAGAAAGTCCAAAATCATGGCACTGGCAAGTTTGGCATTTAGTGAGGGCTCAGTTTATGGTTCATGGACAACTGTCTTTTTGATGAGTCTTTAAATATCAAAGGCGTTCTCTGGGGTGTCATTTATAAGGGCATTAATCCCATTTATAAGGGCCTAATCACCTTCCAGGGGCCCCACTTTAAAATACTATCATGTTGGGATTAGGTCTCAACATATGAATTTGAGGAGAACACGAACATTCAGTCTATCAGACGTGGTGTACATGGAAACCTAGATTCTGTAGTCCCTGTTGTGGGGAGTGTTAAGGCTTCCAGTTGCAAATAGATGGCTTTTAAGAACCTACATTTAAGTTATAATTAATTTAGCTTAAGTCACATGATTAATGAGAGGGAGGAACAACAGTTAAAATATGTTGGATGACAGAATCAGAAGGTTGTATCCTATAGAACAATAGAAGGCTGTGTTTTGAGAGGCTGTATCCTATAGAACAATGGGAAGAATGTGCCATGGTGAAATATAATAGAAATGCATTCATTTATTTAATAGCAACTATTGGGTATAAGTTGTTTAGGCAGGGGGAACAAAGGTTAAGTAAGACCCAGTCCTAGCATTTGAGGGCTTTGTAGTTTACTAACACGTGTTAGAGACAGAAACACCTACATTCATTACCATGTTAGAACTATGATAGCTGCATGGATAGCCCCAAAGCGGGGAGTACTGAATTCTCTCTAGGGGAAGGTAGGGTGAGAACAGACTTACGCTGAATCTTCAAAGTTGCATAGGTATTTACCAGGTTTGGGGTCGGAGGATGTGCAGCGTAGGTACAAAAGAAGCCCATTATAAACGGAAGGAACTAAATAAGCTAAGGTATAGAAGCATAAAACAGAAGGTTTGGGATACTGCAAGCAGTTTAGTATGATTGGAATATAAGGAAGTGGTTGAGGTGCCAGTGGGGGTTGGGCAGGCGGGGGGGGTTGGGCAGACGATAAGTTCAGTGTGTTAGAGAGGGGCCAGGTGAGGTAGCTTGGAGGATGGACTGAAGGAAGATTACTCAGGAAGCTGTTGCTAATAATCCAGGTAAGAGACAATCCTGCCCCAAACTAAAGCAGCCGCAGTGGAGACGGAGAGGAAGGAATGGAAGCACGTTGTGTTGAGAGACTGAGTCCACATGTAAAGCCCTTCAGTTAGTTTTGAAAAGAAAAAAAGTATTAAAAGAAAAAATTTGAAGGGTAGTATATTCAAATCGTATTAGCAGTAAGATTTGATCTTCCTGAAAGCTAATGTGATTGTGGGCTGAAATAATAGGAAGATGGTCTCCAGAAGAAGGGAGGCCAGGGTTCTGTCCTTCCTAGTGCTGGTCACACTGCGTCTGGGATGTTGTGTCCTGGTGTGGGTTTGGTTCTTAGGCCCTGGACACTGAGGTAAATAAGACTCACACTCTGTCCTTGAGGACTCTAAAGTTTAGAAACACACTGTGGGCCTGTAAATAAACAAATGTGGTAAAGTCCCATAGGAGCTGAGATTGATGTGTATATAGTCCCTTTATTTATTTATTTAAAAAAAAGTTTTTTTTTTGGTGGGGGAGTTAATTAGGTTTGTTTATTTATTTATGTGTCTGTATATTTATTTATTTATTAATGGAAGTACTGGGGATTGAGCCCAAGACCTCGTGTAGGCTAAGCATGCCCTTTACCACTGACCTATAACCTCCCCTTATAGTCCCTTTTTAAGAGAGAGACTGAGTAACCAGAGCAGAGAGGAGAGAAACCAAGAGGAGGAGGAAATTTGAAACCAGGCAATGGCAGCTGGAACTGGGAATGTTTGGCCTAAAGAAGAAATATGTATTAGTTATCTACTGCTGTGTAATACATTACCCTAAAATTTAGCATCTGGGATGTTGCAGCTTAAAACAAGAGACGTTTATTATCTCACGATTTTGAAGGGTCAGGAATCTGGGAACATTTTAGCTGGTCTCCCATGAGGCTGCAGTTAAGATGTCAGCTGCGGCTGCGTGAGGTCTGCTGGAGGCTCAGCTGAGCTGAAGGCTCCACTTCCACGCTCTCTCACGAGCAGAGGCTTCAGTTCCTTACCATATGGGCCTCTCAGTAGGACTGTTCAGATGTGGCATCTGGCTTCTCCCAAGAGTGATGAGAGAGAGAGAGAGAGAGAAAGAAAGAGATGCAGGCTGGTCAAGCATGAAGCTTCAGTGCCTTTTATTACCTAGTCTCTGAGCCACTCATCAATTTGTTATCCTATTAGAAACAAGTCACTAAGTTCAGCCCACAGTCAAAGGGAGGGGAATTAATTTGCACACCTCAAAGGAGGAGTCTTAAAGAATTTGGGGACATATTTTTAAAAAAAATTTTCTATTTAAGTGTAGTTGATTTACAATGTTAGTTTCAGGTATACAGCAAAGTGATTCAGTTATACATATACATACATAGATACACACACCCACATATATTTTCAGATTCTTTTGCATTATAGCTTATTATAAGAAATTGAATGTAGTTCCCTGTGCTATACAGTAGCTCCTTATTGTTTATCCATTTTATGTGTATGTCTGTTAATCCCAAACTCCTAATTTATCCCTCCCCCTGATTTCCCTTTTGGTAACCATAGTTTGTTTTCTATGTCCGTGAGTCTATTTCTGGTTTGTAAATAAAATTTGTGTCTTTTTCTAGATTCTACGTGTAAGTGGTATCATGTGATATTTGTCTTTCTCTGTCTGACTTACTTCACTTAATATGATAATCTCTAGGTTGGGGACCTATTTTTAAAACCACCACAAGATGTCTTAGTGAGGACGTGACAACTGTCTTAAAATATTTGGAAAGCCTTGTCAGAAGCAATAGGCAGATAGGTTTGGTTTCAGCTGAGGAAATGGATGGAATCATGGAAAGATGAGCAGGCACCTGGGGAGGTGATAAGCCTGTGTCACTGGGAGTAGGTGTTTGGCAGGGGTTGGATGACCACTTGGTAGGGTGTTGTAGAGGGGTTTCTAGCATTGGATGGGGACTGGACTAGATCAGAGGTCAGCAAACTGACCCTTGGTGAATAAAGTTTTATTGGAACACAGCCACACCCATTCATTTATTTATTGTGTCTGGCTGCTTTTATGTTACAATGGCAGAGTAAAGTAGTGTGACAGAAACCACGTGGCCTGCAAAGTCTAAAATATTTACTATCCAGCCCTTTACAGAAAACCTTTGCCAACTCCTGGACTGGATGACCTTGCCGGTGCCTCTCAGCCCTGAGAAGTGTTGTGATATGGTATTTTTAAAAGATTTTTTCTTTTAGGTTTACATATAGAGGCATTTATGAGTGGAAATGTTGGGGATTGGGAGCTCCAAACCAGGCAGACATATAGTGAGGGCCATGCTGCATTGTATTTGGGCATAAATTACATAAAATTTTGTAGATGACTAATCCTGAGATCCCCATCCTTTTCTTTGTTTTGACAGCTCCTGAGAGAGACGGTTGTTAGTATTGCTGCTGGACTGAGGCATGCGTTAGCTGCAACAGGTGATCATTTTGCTTTTATTTTCTTAATAGGCATATAATAAGGAGACATGAGCTTTGGAAGAAATAAACTCTACGGAGTAATCCAGGGTGTCCTGCTGTGCTGCAGTGCTGATTGAAAGGAGGGGACATAGGCAGAGGTAGTGGGAAAGCTTTTAGCAGTTGGAGAGGAAGGAAATTAAATTGTCTAGCTCTTTATTATGTTCTTGGCAAGGTGCTAGGGTCTCTTGATTTAACTAATACCTCATTTAATCTTCATAGCCACACAGTGATGCCAGTTAAATTTTTTAGAAATTGAGATATAGTTGATTTACAATATTACTGAGTTTCAGGTGTACAAGATAGTGATTCACGATTTTTAAAGACTATACTCCATTTATAGTTATTATACAATGTTGGCCGTATTCTCTGTGCAGTATATCCTTATAGCTTATTTATTTTATACATAGTAGTTTTTACCCCTTACATATGAAGAAACTGAGGTCCAGAGAGGCTACAGCGTTTGTCTGAGGTTACACAGGGAGTAAAGCACTAAAAGGTAGAGCTGGGATCAGAGTCCAGGATGGGCGGGGTTCCAAGGCCCACGTCCTTTGCCGTGAACTGTACTGCTTTTCTTTTGGATTTTAATGTTTATCCATATAACAGCTTCAAGTGAGCTTGTCTCTGGGACCATGAGAGGGTGATGAGTATAGAGCTGACAGTGTGTGTGAGGTTGAGGGTGGAAAGTGGAGGAGGCAGTGGCGTGTAGGAGGGCAGTGACCCTTTTTCTCTCCCTTGCTCATTTTTCTGCTTTCTGCTCCCACTCCTTTGGGCTGGAGGATAGCCCTGACCGGCCATGGCAGCTGAGGCTCAAGTGTTGGTGAGTCCAGTCATGGAATGGGGAGAGGAACGGAGGTGAGGGAGAGTGTGTCAGCCTGGTGCTTAGTACTGATTACACTTTTTAAAAAAATGAAACTTTTCGTTTTGAAGTCATTGTAGATTCACATGCAGTTGTAAGAAATGAAATAGATCTCACACACTCTTTGTCCAGTTTCTTCCCACGGTAACATATTGTGAAACTATAGTGGAATAGCACAACCAGGGTGTCTTGATACAGTCAAGATTCAGATCAGTTCCATCACAAGGATCCCACTTACTGCTCTTTTATAGCCACACCCTCCTCTTAGCTCCTGGCAGCCACTCTTCTGTTCTCCAACAAGAATGGTGTTATTCAAGAATGATGTGTAAGTGGTATCAGACAGTTAATAGCCTTTTGGGTTTGGCTTTTTTGCTCAGCATGATTCCCTAGAGGTTCATCCAAGTTGTGAGTATCAATAATTTGTTCCTTATTATTGCTAAGTAATATTCCATGATATAGATGAACCACTGTATTAAGTTACCAGGGCTGCCATAACAACATACTGCAGATTGAGTGGCTTAAACAACAGGAATTTATTTTCTCATAGTTATGGAGGCTGGAAGTCCAAGATCAAGGTGCCATAAGGGCTGGTTTCTAGTGAGGCTTTTCTTCCTGGCTTTTAGATGCTGCCTTCTTGCTCTCTCTTCACATGGATTTTTCTCCATGCACGAGTGGAGAGAGAAAGAGAAATCTCTGGTGTCTCTTCCTCTTTTTAAAAGGGCACCAGCTGTATCAGATTAAGGTGTCACTCTTATGACCCATTTAACTTTTATCACTTCCTATAGGCCCTGTCTCCAAATACAGTTACATTGGAGTTTAGGTCTTTGGTATATGAATTTATGGAGGACACAATTCAGTCTATAACAACCACACTTTGTTTAACCAGTCACCCATTGAGGGACATTTGGTTGTTTCTGGTTTTTAGCTATTAAAAATGAAGCTGTAAACATTTGTGGACAAGCTTTTACGAGAACATAAATTTTCATGTCTCCAGGATAAATGCCCAGGAGTGTGATTACCGAGTTGTATGGTAGTGATTATACTTTTATAAGCAGCTCCTTTTAGAAATGAGCAGAGCCAGAGAATTGCCTATCATTGGTTTACTTGCCCCTTTCCCACCAACATTCTGTGATTGCTAGTCTTATGTGTACATTTTTGTCCAGTTACAAAGCAGCACATTTTCCATTACGTGTTTGATTAATTTAATTGTAAGTCCTCCCTCCCCTCATTTAATGTGTAAAAATTTCTGCCCGCATCTCTGAAAGATGAGGACTCTTTGTGAAAACATTACCAAAAATAGCATCATCATACCTACAAAAAATTAATAATAATTCTGTAATTTGATCAAATATGCAGCAGGATTTAAATTTCCCTGATTGTCTCAAATTTTTTTTTTTACAGTTTGTTTGAATCCAGATCTGAATTAGGTCTACACATTGCAATTGATTGATAGGTATCTCAAGTCTCTCTCTTTTAAAATATTTTTTTGTTCCCTTTAGGTTTTTTTTGAGATAAAATACACATAACAAAATTTATCACCTTAATCATTTTCAAGTGTACGGTTGTATGGGATTAAGTATATTCACATTATTATGCAACTATTACCACAATCCATTTCCAGAACATTTTTCGTCTTGCAAAACTGAAATTCTATATCCATTAAACAATAACCCCCCATTCCCCATTCTCCCCAGCCCCTGGCAACCGCTGTTCTACTTTCTGTCTCCATGATTTTGACCACTCATACAGGTACCTCATATAAGTGGAATTATACAGTCTTTGTCTTTTTGTGGCTTATTTCACTTCACGTAACATTCTCAAGGTGTGTTCATGTTGTAGCAAATGTCAGAATTTCCTTCCTTTTTAAGACTTAATAATAAGACCTAATAATATTCCACTGTATGTATTACCACATTTTGCTTACCTGTTCATCTGTTGATGGATACTTGGGTTGTGTCCAAATTTTAGCTATTGTGAATAATACTGCTATGAATATGAGTGTACAAATATCACTTAGAGATCTTGCTTTCAATTCTTTGGGATATATACCCAGAAGTAGAATTGTTGGATCATATAGTAATTCTATTTTTAATTTTAGGGGGAATCACCATACTGTTTTCCTTAATGGCTATACCATTTACATTCCCACCAGTAATGAACAAGGTTTCCAGATTTCTTCACATCCTTGCCATCCTTGCCTTGTTCTTCTTTTTTTTTTTTAATAGTAGCCACCCTAATGAGTGTAAAGTGGTGTCTCATTGTAGTTTTGATTTTTATTTCCCTAATGATTAGTGATGTTGAGAATCTTTTCATGTGTTTCTTGGCCAATTGTATATTTTCTTTGGAGAAAAGTCTATTCAATCCTTTGCTCATTTTTGAATCAGGTTTTTGTTATTGTTGAGTTTTAGGAGTTCACTATATATTCTAAGTATCAATCCTTTATCAGACATCTCAAGTCTCTTTGAATTTGTGTGTTCTCTTTCCTCTCTTTTTTTTATTCTCTTGCAATTTATTTGATGAAGAGATGGTAAGTTGTGTGTTATTTCGACACTGTGTTTTCCTCACATTGTGCTCAGACCTCATCACTGACATCTCACAAAGCAGGCTTGTGTGTTTGCAGCCTAAAGGACCATTGGTTATGGGATACTTCTGGAGGAGCAGTACCTTGATGTTGCTGTTGGGTCATGGATCCTAGTTACAGACATCTGACTGTAGACCAGATACAAAATTTCATCTGCCCATCTGTATGAGGTTCAGAATATGGGTTCATTCAGTGGATGTGGAAATAAAAGGCTATTCCAGAGCAGCAGTGGCTTTGAAGAAGCTATCTTGCAGTCATAAATATGTCTTTATTTGGCAATTAGGAATCTTTGAATTTATCTTTCTGTAGGAGAAAAGGCACTACATTAGGTGAAGGAGAGTTGAATCCTGGTGTTTTCTCTGCTACTAGCTCCCTGTGTGACCTTAGACAAATCACATCCTCTCTTCAGGGCCTCAATTTTCTGAGCTAGTAAATGTGAGGAATGGATGTGATAAACTTTAAGGTTCTTTTCTGCTTGGTCTGGAGTCTGAGCTGTCCTTTCAGATTAGTCATGAACAAGGTGTCATTCCAGTAATTTGACTCTGGCAGAGTGTCCTAGGACCTTCTGGAGGGAGCTTTACTATGTTGAATTTTCTTTGATGGTCTTCGATTGCCCTGAAGATTGGGCTTGGGATCGGCTTGGTGGTAATCCCGATGACCAGCCACAGGGCCCCTAAAAGCATTAAGTTTTTCCATAATGTGCGTGTTAACTGAGCATGAATTGGGACTCTCCCATGGCAGTGGGGTTCAAAGACAAATCTGATCTTAATCTGGATAAGCAATTTCTCTTTTTTCTGTTCTGTTCCACTGGGAAGCTAGTGGCCTTGTGTACCAGTGGGGAACTGGTTTGGCATCGTCTGGACGGCGGTTGTGCCCTGGGCAGACTCTCCCGCTGTTTTTGACAGCAAAGGAACCGAACAGAGTGACAGGTAAGGCCCTCATTTCTTCTGAGTCCTATATTGATTCTTTGTCTGGAAGTGAAGACACAGACATGCAGAAAATGGGTAAATGGAGTTTTGCTTTTCTACTTTTTCGTCTCTCTGTCTTAATTCTCTCTATTGGTTGGTCTCTTTGCTGGAATTTTTGTGGGCCCAGTAAAAATACCCCTCTTTGCTGTCAGAATTTGAGACCCACTGAGAGATAGATGCAAGTCAGGTAGGTAGAAATCAAAATGGTAGCTCTAGAACTGTTAAATGTTAGATTGGAAGAGGTGACTTAGGTGTTTGGAGATAATGTGCAGCAATAGTGGGTCTCTTAAGTTCTGAATCCCACGTTGAGCTTAGCCCCCAGGCACTGGAGCAGCTGCATGCAGTCGGCTCTGCTAAGGTCCCTGCTTAGAGCACTCAGAGCACAGAGGAGGCCCCCTCTCTGCAGGCAGGTGCACCCCAGAGGGAGAGCCCAGAAGGGCTGCACCTCGCCTGCCCAGCTCCCTCTCCCAAAAGGAAAGCAGGAGTGGGTGAGGATGGAGAGAGGGCAGGAGCATTCCCCTGGGGAAGGCTCTCTCATGGGCACAGGAAGAGTAGGTAGGAAGGTCCTGCCCACAGGTCTGTGGGTTGGTCTTTTGTTAGTAAATTAGTCTCTAGGACTTTGTCTCTCTCTCCCTCCCTCTGCCCTCCACTCTCTTCGTGGGCCTTTCTCTCTGGGTACATAGCACCATGAAGCACCATGTCTCCACCTCCTTCTCCTCCTCTTCCTTTCTTGCTCTCTTACTTTGTGACCCAGTTGATGGAGGGTTGGCTGTAGGAAAAACCTGTAAGGAAACCTCTATTCTCCTCTAGCTCAGAACAAGGGAAGAATTTTTGAGGGTTGGAGGAAGGGGGAAAGAGAAGAGAAGGGTGAGCTGCAGTGGGAGTGACTTAGAAGATGCTGGGACCATTTTGATGTTCTTAAGTCCTAGGGGCACTCCCCTTCACTGGAGGTGAGGTTAGCCTCCCTGAAGCCCATGGGTTGAGTTGGGGAGGTTACTTTTGAGAAGGAGAAGGAGCTACCGGACACAGGACAGACAGTCCACTTCACATGACACTGAAAGCATTTGTAATTTATAATCCATTCTTCTCAAACATTTTCCTGCTTCACCAAGGTATTATTCACTGCTCCCTGGGCATATCCTGCATTCTCTTCATCTGTGCCTGTGGGCAGACTGTTACCTGCCTGAGATGCCGTTCTCTTCCTGCTCCCCTGGGGAAAACCCTGATAATTTTTCAAGGCATACCTCAGATACAGCTTTCTCAGTAAAGACTCTTCCCTCTTCTCAGCTCCACTGCATTTTCTCTATGTGCCTGGACAGCACAGCATATTGTACTGTTATCAGTTGTTTCCAAGTTTTCCCACATGCCAAAGAGTATGAGCTTTCTAAGGGTGGGAACTGTGTCTACTTTCTGTTTTAGCACAAGACCTGTAACTAAAAGGAATCAGAAATGTTTTTATTTGATTTGATTTAAATGACCTGATTGGGAGCTGCCTGGGGCACAGCTTAGATTCAGAGATGATTTAGGGGAGTTTTCTGGTGAGACGTTAGAATAGATATCAGCTTCCTGCTCTCAAAGTCTTTCATTTCATTCTCCCATGTTTACCTCATTGCCATCAGCTCTGGAGCTGGAACCCTGGACGTCCTCTCCTGACCTGGCCACTAGGAGCCCAGTGCTTCCTCTTTGGTGAATGTGGCAGAAACATCTGCTTTGTTCCTTTCTCATTCCACAGGATACTTGAAGGCATGAGGGACATTTTATTAAGGCAGTAGTAAATTAAACAGAACTGTCAAAAGAAAGAGTTATAGAATAAGACTACATTTCTCTGCATGCCAGACCAGGTGACCACAGCTTTGAGCAGAGTAGACTGGGATTATAACTTGACATTGAAGGCAGATTATTTAACATGGGGAAAGTGCTGGATTTGGAGATAGGAGGCAGGTTCAAATTCTAGTTCTGCCTGTGTGTTTGTGGGAGGCCTGGGCTTGTGTCTCAGTGTCTGCACATGAGAGCAGCTGAGTATATGAGATGCCATTGCTTCTAGGCCTGCTCCGTGGACACATATGTGTACACACATGTGCTTATACACACGTACACTTGCATCTGTTTATCTCTAGTAGAAACCACGAGGTTACACTGACTTCAATTTCAGTCCAGTATCACATGGTCAATTCTAGCCCTTCACCTTTTCATAGCTGTACCTTTCTTCCTTTTAATAGTGGGAAATCTAGCTCCTTAATCATCAAAATATTTACTTATTTGTTCAATCCCCTGGATATAACCAGTCTCCCTGCCAGCCGTCTTCTTGGCTGGTGCCGCTGACTCAGACCTTCCTGTGCTGGCTGAGAGTTTCTCCCCAGGCGCTGGTGGTCCCTGGTGATCCCTGCCTATGTCCTTTCTCTGCCCAGTTGGTTCTGTCATAAATGTGATTTCAAAATAATTTTTTTTTGATAGGCCTAGAGAATTCTCAAGCAATATGTGTTCTTGCTGGCTCAGATCACTCAGCTTCACTGACAGGTAGGTAACATGCCATTCAGAACTCTGGGTATTTCTGCCTCAAGTGGTGTTCAAGGGGATACAGAGGGAAGAGCACGGGCTTTGGAGTCAGAATTCGGATGCCGCTGCCGGTATGATCTTACACAGGTCACCATACCTTCCTGAGACAAATTCCTTGTCTGTAAAATACTTTGTGGGCAGTTTTGAGAATTAAATACGATAATACATTAAAACACTCGGGTGAAATGTAAGTCACTTCCTTTCCTCTTAGTTTGTTTTCTCAGCTGTGCTATCGGGATGAGACTAGTTTCCTTTCAGGGTAACTATGATTGTCAATCGTATGACCAACAGTACATTTATGTAGAACACATGGTTATCTGTCTCATCTGTTTTGATGTCTAATACAACTGTCTACGCTCTCTTCCTGTCTCTTTTCTCTAGCTCTTTAATCTCAGACTAATCTGTTTTATCCACCCATGTCTCTTGGCTCTATTTACCTGTTTTCCTGTTTGCTCCTTGTATTTATCTACTGTATTTTATTTAACTATCTCTATTTTTATTTATCTCCCATCTTTGTGTCTTCCTGTCTAACCTGTGTCTCCCTATTTCTCTAACTCTAGTTGTGTATGTATTTTTCTAATCTATTGTATATTTTTATATGTTTCTCCAATTGATCTCTCTACTCCATTTCTTTGATCTATCCCACTGTCTAGTCTTTTTTTTTCTCTGTCACACTGTATGTATCTCTCTGTCTGGCTATCCATCTGCTTGGCACACCCAGCCAGTACAGTATAAACTTTCTAGTGACAATGCAGCATTTTCTTGAAAGTGAAGGTTATCCCTTCCAAAGGCTATCTTTTTCAAAGCCCAGATTGCCCTGACCCCTGCTGTTGGACAGCTGTGATTTAGTTTGGTAAGACCTCTTATCTAGTGTTGAATGCATTACATTTTTTAAGCAAAGGAAAATGACTTTTATACACAGTGTTTTCAGTGTTTTATGTGGAAATTGAGGTATGGACACATTGTGAATTAGAGGAGGCATGCATTCTTCAGCATCAGATTTGTAATGCAGTCCGACTGAGGGGCTGTTACTGTTTCCAGAACACAAGAGTCGTAATGCAAGAGTTTAAATACTCCACAAATTTGGAACTACAGAATTTATTTAATTCTGTAATTCATAAATGTATTTAATGAACTAAAAATGGCTAATGAAAGAAATACCTGCTTTGACCTATGTCTCATATTAGGTTGATATATGGATATGCTAAACAGATTAAGTTGAAATGAATGCTAGCTCTCAGGGACTCCCCTGGGCATGTGGCCTCACCTCCCCTTTTATAGAGGGAGGACAAGTTGCCCAAGGGCAGGAAGTTTTTAGTTCATCCTCCACGGTCAGTGCGGGCTGGGGGAAGGCATTCTTTTCTGTGAATAAGAGTAGACTAAGAGAGGTTTCTATTCTGTTCTAATTAATTTGAAATGGCTGGTATTATGTAAATCTAGAGATTCTTCTGATTGCTTGCTGACATCAATTTCTTAAAAATTCTTATAATTAGTAAAGTTATGTATTGTTTCATTTGTAGAACACTTTTATTATGGTTTTTAAAAACATAGTGTTGATTTTTTTTATTGAGATGTAATTCACATATGAAATTCACTCCTTTGAAGTGTACAATTTAGTGATTTTTTAAAGTATATTCGCAAAGTCAATTGGTTTTTGATATTTTGAAAGTGAATTAAAAAGCATCAGGATTTGGTACCAATACCATGCTGTCTTGATGACTGTAGCTCTATAGTATTGTCTGAAGTCTGGGAGAGTTATTCCTCCAGCCTCTTTCTTTCTCTTCAGTAATGCTTTGGCAATTCTAGGTCTTTGATGGTTCCATATAAATTTTATTATGATTTGTTCTAGTTCTGTGAAATATGTCCTGGGTAATTTGATAGGGGTTGCATTAAATCTGTAGATTGCCTTGGGCAGTGTGACCATTTTAACAATATTGATTTCTTCCAATCCAAGAGCATGGAATATCTTTCCATTTTTTAAAGTCTTCTTTAATTTCCTTCAAT